GGGACTTATTTGGGGGTCCCCTAGATATCCAATCATCTATTACTTACCTTTCATGCTGGAACACCATGTATATGAATTAATGTAACAATATCTACTAATAATAGTAGATATTACCTATTATATAACCTAGTAATAGATTACTAGGTTTTTGTATTTTTTTTTTTACATATGGTAAGTCTGAGCCAACACGGTTCTTCGAGTGTTATATAGTGTTTATATACACAACGCACTTACCCTTCGCAAACATTGTATTATTATATTTACATGTATATATACGTGCCACCCATCACCCATCTTCGCACTTACAAAATAATACAAACATTATATTATATACATCGTACATAAAGACAATAATATAATAATAGTATATTATAATTTATATATATATATATATTATTTAGTCGCATAATGTATGTTATGTATACGAAACGTCACACACTTTTATAAACGTTGTATTATTATTTCTCGCCCTAAACTTATCTCGTACATTATATTATAAATGTGTATATTATGTTTGTTAGCGTTTTTTTTTTTTTTTTGATTGATTGTTTTTAATAAAATACATGTACGTCTTTGCGGTTTTATTCTTCGGCTGTGTGTGTACTTAGGGGCGGCGAACATTTCCAAAACACAGGCGCGCGCGCCACCGTGATTGCCGCCGGCGGGGGGTGCACAAACTCGGCTAAGGGGGGTATGCCGTGGTGAGGGTGTGCGCGGTGAGAATAATAACGGTATAATAATAATAATAATAATAGTAATAATATTGTCGCGCCTGACACCCTTTTGTTACCGCCACGATGGAGGTGCGGTGCGGGGAGAGCAGAGACCCTGGAATCAGTGTGATTTTTATGATCCTCGTGGTTCGCCCGCCCAACACCCCCGGGGACCACCTGATGTGTTATAGCTTAACTACTGTTTTGTACGTCGTATGTATGTGTATTTTTATTAAAAACTTTCGACGGCTTTAACACACAAACACACCCCGTCCCAATAGACACATAATAATAATATTAATATTATATCGGTGTATAATAGCATACACAATATGTTATACTTTTAAAAAGTAATATAATATAATAATAGGTATGTTATACGGCACTTGTATGTAGACGTAATATATAATTTTGTATTGCGTGGTGCGTTTTAATAGTACCTAATGCTTATAAGTTCGTTACACACATTTTATTGTTGGGTTCTCAAAAAATAAATTATATTTGTATTTCACTAGTCATGATCATAGTAAACTAAACAATAAGCGTTTTATTTTCTGAACATTATGTAGGTATATAATATAAGAACTTAAACGAACCGATGGCCGTTGAATGGTACCTAAATAAAAATCCTTCGTTCTAACAGGTACAGGGTACTATCTCTTTTAGTACACCCGCAGAAGTCAATACTATACATTGAAACAGTATTTATATGTTATAATATATTATGTTTATACCCAAGTGGATCCACCTTGGTTTATACTGTATTTTTATTATATGGCACAGCGAAAAGGCAAATACTGTAAATAATAAATTAGGTAAGTAAACATACAATAATTTTTGGAACTAATTAGCACGTGACTTTTTAACATATATACAATGTAATTAATGATTAATACTTAATATGTTTAACAAAAAGAATGTCCATGTAATTAAATATTGTTGTTTATACGTTGAAATCCAGCATTTCCTACTATGTTAGGTTGGTATAGTAGAGGTTGGATAATTTTTACGCGATGGAATGTAAATGTTCCGCTTAATTCATATTATTATGATGACTGATAAGGAAATAGTTCCATCCACTTTCAATTACTGCAAAATGAAACCGTGATAAATTCCATTAGTGAGGTAATTATTATATTTGTTTTGTTACAAGCCCTAGTTACTACTATGTATTACATTACATGCATATGATTAACACATTGCACTGTACACAGTACAATGTGTTGTACGTAACATACAAAATATTATTAAATTTATCGCATTTTGTCTAGAAATATGCCTTAATTGTTTTTCAATACTAAGCGATCAATAAATATTTTGTTAAAACTGGTAGCGTCCAGACATTTATTTAAACATCAATTTTTGAGTCTCTGAATCCGAATCTGAGGTAAGAATTCCGAAGTTATTTTTTACTCATAAAAATGTCACTGAAGCAATCAAGTTAAGTTTTCCATAATTTTTATAGGGGATTTATTATGTCATATAAGTTTACAATATAAATGGGCTATAATTTTAGGTTTACATATGCACAATAATATTTATTAAAAATTAACGAAGGTACCTTCGTATACCCAATACTTTATAAAGGTATACAAAGTATTAAGCTAATCATTCCTCTCGTTACATGAGAAACTTATTAATGATTCCGTTGTTATCGGTGCATATGAGACACATCATATTTAACCCGATTATCTAAACAACAACTCTTATTATATTTCAGTAGTATATAAATTATAAACAATTTACAAATCATTATATGCATGAACATAACATAGGGTTACTCCAAAAGTCATTAAGAACAACATAAACGTTTGCCACCGTTTATTATTTCTCATACAATAAATAGACTCTAGTTGAATAAAAAACAAAACGTACAATATCATAAACTTTTTTGCTAAGTTTAGTTTAAATATCTGTAAAAATGAACTCCGGTTTAAATAAATATCATTTTTTTCTCCAGAAAAGCGCTCCCCTTGAAGACGTGAAACTTATTTCTTTATTTCTCTTTTTTAGGTAAAGTTTTAATATCCTGTATAGTCCGAAGGTAGGAAGGGGTCATAACGTATACATTTTTCTCAAAAGTCTGTAATCAAGCTTTTTTTTTGTTAATGAAACACCAACAAAAAAAGGGATAAATTACAATTTAACCATAGTACATTTCTAGGTTGCTATAAATGTAAGTGAATCAACAGTCAACCGGTATTGAAAATATTTTTATTACCTAATTTGTACTATCAATTGTTATAGTCAGACATTATAGGTCAACCTTTATCATATCAACACTTATAATATATATATACATTTTTAGTAGGTACGTTATGACATTACAATGCATTTATAGATATTTTTTTAGTTCTATCATTATAGAGATTCGCATCGAAGCGTTTATTTGAAAGTTATTTTATTACTTTCAGTTGTACCTAATAAGTAATAACTTATATAATAGTCCTGTGACCTTCTCTGTCCCAATAATCTCCGTTACCACTAGACCCCGATTCCACTATGCTGTTTATTTTTTGTAATGTAATATTTTACGGACACAGCTTGACTGTCAATCATTCCGTACTCGCCCCAAACGGTTAATTGGAACATATTAGAATATAATCGTTATAAATTATAATGATTGTGTTTATCAGTTAATGCGTCTAATTTAATAATGTAATCATAATAGAAACATGGAATAGGTACCTATTATGTATAAACACAGAGAAGATGTTTATAATATGTTTACTGTACAGTGTACACAATATTAATTAGGAATGCAATTATTTGTATTATACGTATTTGTATGTAGTATGTACTTGTTGTGGAAGATAATATTGTTAAATTATTACAATTATCATCAATTGCCTACTTAACGCGAAACGCGTTATTGTGTTCTTATTGATTTAGTTGCAATTTATTTTACGAAGAAAAATCAAAGTACCTACTAGATAACAGTAATAATTTAGGCTTAATGTTTGTTCCAATAACACCAATAGACCATATGTCCGATATATTTTTTTCAATTTATCGCTACTGAGTATTATTGTGAAGGCATAATAATATATATCATTATAGTCTGCACGCGGGCATACTTAAAATGAGAAACTATGCTATCACACAAAAGCTGAAGCTACATTCACGGGATGTAATTTGTTGAGTTCCAATATTTATAACAAACCATATAGCTGCTCTCTTGGTTAAATGTTGGTTCAAAGTTAATCGGATATAATGAAACGGTACCTACGTGGAAACCCCAGCGAGCATTTTTTATTGTATCCATACAGCATAATGATTTTGAAAATGTTTATTACTTATTTTTTGGCAATGAAGGTATCAAGTATATTTTGTACTATATATTTAAAACTATAAACAATACCTTTAAAGTATAGTAAAAATGTTTGATACAATTTTTACGTCAAAAAATATTATTGAAACGTTTTCAGATTTGATATTACTAAAACATTCTATGTTTAATGTTTAGTATTTATTTTGTATTTAAATTGCTTACAATATTAGTATTCCGTGTTTCAAATTATACGATAAAGCTAAGTTATGGTTCTACAGTATATAGGTACCTATTAAATAGTTAATTTATTAATTAGTATTTTATTCCATTTGAGAATATCCACAAATCGTCGCCTTCGGCTGTTAGGTGTGCTGTTCATCGGTGAACGTCTGTATCCAACTATCAAGACAGCGACTGTGGCTTTAAGTTATTTGCACGAGTCAGAAACGGTTGTTGTGTGCGTATATGAGTATATTATTATGCAGAGGCAAAAAAAAAATACCGTGTGGGAATAAAAGAGAGAGAGACAGAGAGATATGGAGAAAGCGGTGTGTGCTTACTGACGCGCCGATCGGCAAGAATGGGCGGCCCTTCATAATTGGCCCCCTGCGACCGTCGTCGCCATATTGAATCCCTCCCCGTGCCCCCCTCACCACTTACGACAAATAATCGTTGCCACTTGCACACAGACACGAGACCGGATCCAATGTGCTCTGCCACATTTTACCGGCCATTCGCAAACAAAAAATTAACTCTAACAAGTATTGCTTGTGTCAATTACCATTAAGGTATCTCTATATAGCCTAACTTTGTTCAAAATATGCGTCTTCACTCTTCATCTATACGACGACCGTGAAGATTTACATAAACATAGCTACGTAGGTATGACCAAAACGAAGGGCAATTAACGCTAGCGTTAGAAAAACAATAACAATAAATTAAAAACACCGAGGTTTTATTTTCTTATTAACAATTTTTTTTATTGTTTTAAAAAAATCTCAAATATTATTGCTAGGTTTCGTAATATTTACATTAAAAATTAAACATAGGGTACAATAGGATTGGCACGATATACACAGATTTACCCTATATTTGTTTGGAAATTATACTCTAATAGTTATAGTAATATTTATAATTTATATATATATATATATGTATATATTTATATAGTTTACAAACAGCGTTATTTACAAAAATAAATAAATATAATAATAATATGACCGCGAGCGTGATTATACATTTTCCGCCTTTAAAGAACGCTCGTTACAAATAAAATGTATCCATCCAACTAAAATTAACGAAATCGTTATCACAATTATCAATATTTATACGCATAAAACAATTTAAAAATAAGATATTATTAAAAGTTGTTTATCAATATTTAAAAAAACAAACAAGAATCTTTAAGGAACTCTCGTCGAAAATATAGCGGCGGATTTTATGAACTAAACGTGTTTCCCAACCGGCCGCTATAAATTCGATTATAAGTTATTGTTGGATAAACAAAATGCGCTTTTTTTATGTTGTTGGAACATAATAATTGTAGCATAAAGTCCACGCGGATTTGGTGACTAGTTTTTTTCTTTACAAAATAATAATTATAATAATAATTTAAGAAGAAGAGTAAACGATAATAATAGCTTCAACGTAATATCATCCGGTTTAAGTATATAGGACAACTTATAAGTCTTATCATATAATCATTTGTTATATATGTAACTGCGCGGTTAAACGCTAGCGGTAGAACCCGCTCCTCCGCCCCCACCGGTAACGGACGGGGAAGGTGATCCGGGTGTCGCGGAACGCCGTCCGGGTGACAGGGAGGCTTGTGGCGGGCCCTGGTGTTGGCTGGCTGCCGCCGCGGCGGCCGCGGACGATTGCAGGCCTTGGGCTATCAAATGGGCCATGGTAGGTCGGTGCGATAACAGGGACTGCAGTTGGTGCGGGTGGCCGAACAGCTCGGACGGGTGCTGGAAGTAGTGCGGCAGATGGGGGTTGCCGTAGAGCGGGTGATGCGGTCTGGCGGCTGCGACTGCTGCCATCTTAAGCTTTTCGATTTCGGCTTCTTGCAACCTCTTGGCTTTTGCTCTTCGGTTTTGAAACCATATTTTCACCTGCGCAGATCACAAAGAAAAAAACCGTTAGTTATTTTGTATTTAACAGTATTATATAGCATAATATAATATAGGTAGGATAACTAAATATCAATAACAGTTATTACGTCGCTGTTTATATTATATTAAATAGGTACATTCTTATATTGGACATATGTTAGGAAATGATTATTGTAAAATATAAGTGTTTGAACGAGCTTTACCTGTGTTTCGGTCAGGTGCAATGAGTTTGAGAATTCGGCTCGTTCGGCGATGCTTAGGTATTGTTTTTCCCGGAATTTCTTCTCCAAGTTCAACAGTTGTTGGGTGGTGAACGGCGTCCTGGGCTTTCTGTTCGGTTTGTGTTTTCTCAGGTTGCATTTGAGTTTGGGCGGTTCGCCGTTATTGGAATCTGCGGAAAAAAACACCAAACGATTTGTTAGTTATACTCTGGCAATATACGCTCACATGATAATATATAGGCACATTATTCGACTTGTACATTTATCTTGTTCTCGTCTAAAAATAAACAACAGGAAGGATGTGTGCGTGTACGGTGAACAATATAAAAACAAATAGAAGCCAAAAAAAAAAACAAAACGCCGGCCTAGACGCGTGATTTAACGACGACTGCAGACTTAATATTATGTATATAGGCCGCGACAACGCTGCAACTCGTTTTCTCTCTTAACACTTTTTTTTTGGCACGGCCGTTGCCGATTAACACATTTTACGTTCGTTTTAACGTGCACATTTGTCTCCCGACCGACGGCAATTAGACGGCCGCTAAAAATAATAATAAAACGGTGACCGTAGGTTAAAAAAAATAAAAAAAGTATCGCCCAATTAGAGACATTAACGGCGGCTGCGGAATGTGCACCGGAATACCGCAGACGGCCTGCGATACACACACACAGACAGACATAAGGAGAGGGATAACGCAGCGAGACAATATAAAAGCCAAACAAGAACAATAGCCGGAAATATATTATAATAAGTCAAGACCGTTTACTAAAAAAACGCTCTCTCGTTTTTAATTAAAGGCAAAACAATTGCCGCCGCAACTGAATATATACTCAATCCGTACACCGGGTCGGATGGACGAATCTTAAAAGATTCTGTTATCTATTTTTTTTTTCTTTTGTATCAATCCACGTTCACGCCTAGTATCCTATGTCTTTTCAAGATTTGGGACATTGGACAATTGTGTTATTTAATTCGCTTTAGGTTGAATATATAACGTATGTTTACATATATGAACAAACTGCAGACAATCCTGTATGTGCGAGCACCGAAAGTTAACCATTTCACTGGACTTGAATTTGTTTGTCGGCGAAATTGTTAATCTACAAACGCGTAACGAGAATTTGTCGAGAAAACAAATAAGACAGCTAAACGTTACGTAATAGGACCGTGTTGTGCTTCTGTTTCAACCATAATGTTATTATATTGTAATCTATTGAAACGGGCCCATAAGTAATTATCCCTCGGGGGCACGCGCCGTAACGACAATTTAATTTACCGAAATTAGAACTATTAATATTGTTCCGACACCTGTTTGCACCGTATATAAGAATGTTAATGATATAATACGAATTCAACGTGCCGGTTAATTACATACGAGTATTGTGCTGCGTATATAATGTATACGATAAACAATATCGACTCTCGTATAATTAGTTTAGTTAATAATTGCGCGGATGCGTTTTGCAAATTAATAAATTAACGACCATATTAAGTAATATTAATCTAGCCAAGTATTGGCCGATATAATATGGTCTATTTTAAGTTGTCCAATCAGACAACGACTGAAATAATAATAACAACACTATTATAATTATTATTTCGTAAACAGTCTGGAAATAAATTATAATAGGAATATACACCGAACAATCGTATCTAATCACTATAATGTTATATTAAGTATTGCGTACCGGTCGTTAACGAATATATCGAATATTTCATTATGTGGAACGGAAAAAACTCGAAATCAATTAAAAGTGACGTGCGGCCTGTTGTTTACCGGTTTATCGCCTCTTGCATCAATAATACTATTATGCGTTTCCGTAGAATATTATTATACATTTTAGGTAACAACAATATTGTAAATATGTGGGTATTATTTACCAGAAAAATAATTAGTCCGTTATTATTTCAAAGGTCAATAGCGGTAAACGCGATGATAATATAAAAGTGTTTATTACTGACAAATAAAACGAACACTAAGTAGGCTTATCACGTATTATAATATATTAATAATAATAACTACAATCACGCGTGTGTACTCTTATACCAAAAATAGCTCCAATTAATCGTCACAATTACCAATACTGTGTTATAATGTTTTTATATTTGAATTATCGAGAATGGCCTTTGGGTTTTCGATTTGACCTCGACGTGTATAAGGAACACAAAGCACAGACCGGACTCCTCTAAGAAACTTCCTCGGCAAGTATAGTATTAATAATATTGTATGTCGTGATCGACTTACCGGGTGAACCGGAGTTGAGACCGGCGGAACCGAAGCCGGGAAAGCCACCGGGGTAGTGAGGATGCCACGAGCCGGGGGCACCGGGGTGTTGCATGCCGGCTGCCGAATATGCGGCTGCTGCGGCCGCGGCGAACGCGGTGAATGGCGTGGGCCTCACGGGCGCTACGGGATGATGGTGATGGTGTCCTCCGGCGCCGGACATCATGAAAGCTCGGGCGGCCATAGCGCCGGCAGACGACTGATGGTGGAACGGGTTGACGGACAGCGGCGAGCGGCCGCGCTCGGGCGTCGTCGAACAGCGTCCACCGTCGCCGGTGGTCTCTACGTCCACGCTGTCACGGTCCTCGTCGTCAGGCGTGTCCATCATGTCGTCGTCGTACGCGGAACCGGGCGTCGGCGACCGGGCGGGCCTGGTGTCGGCCAGAAGTGCGGCCACGCTGAACTTGATGTGACCGGACGGACGGGCCGCGGCCGACGTCGGGTTGCTGACCGTCTCGTCGTTGTTGTTGTTGTTCATACGGATAGGTTTGTTGCCGTCTTCGGCGGTCGTCCGTTGCCCGTTGGTCGATGCAGGCGGCAACAGATGGTTAAGTGCTAACACAGTCATATTGGCTGCTGCCGTGGGTTCTAGCATGTGTGTCCGCACAAACTGTAAGTAAAGCTGCAGCGGCGGCACATTCAACGGTGGTTTACCGGCTAAAAGACGCGGCCAACATGCACATGTACGGCGGCGTGTAAGGTAACGCGGACCGCAGAGTAATCGAACGGCAAAAGTATAATTTAATATTAAGCACAAATTCGCACGGCCAACTCGAGACGCGTAAGAAAAATACAAATTGTACGGCGTAAAAAAAATTAAAAACGACACTTGGAATATTTTTTTGTACTTCAACAGCTAAAATAATACACGAGTGAACAGGACGTCGATGTGTACGAACAGTAGCGGTCGTAAGACTGACTGACTGAACGGTTACGGTGCGGCCGGCGACTCAGTACGGACCTCGTGACGACAGTAGTGTAGGGCGCCGGCGGCGGTAGGGGTAACGGTGGCTGTGGCGGTAGCGACGGCGGTGGCTTCGAGGGTGACACCCACCGAACGGTAACGCCCAATATTGTGTTGGGCGGCCCGTTTATCGTGCTCTCTCGACCGACGATGCGTGCGGAGAAGGGGATACGTGTTCGTCAATACGCGTCACGGCATTAAATTATACACCTCGGCCGCCGTCGCTTCTCCACAGCAGTGTCCACAGTCCACCACTTATCTCGCACCGCGCCGGCTACTACAATCGGCTGAGTATATTTGACATAATAATTATTTCACTACCCGCTCGGTTCGCCCTCCCCTCGACCGCGCATCGACTAGAGTATATTCGGGTGCTATTAGCAAAACCCTCGAATACACAACGGATAATCGTAACAAAACCGCGCAAACTTATAATGTAGGTTAGGTTGCAGTTAATATTGTCCTAACTGTGCGGATTTGCACTCGTTACATGCAGGCGTCCTTACATTATCCATAAAAAAATAACCATTCATTAATCATCATAATTCTTATTTTTTTAGTTATAACAATATAACAGAATTTTTGGATTGCCCTACTGCAAAAATATGTTACAAAGCAGTAAAATTAGCCTTCACCTAGATATATACACATAAATATATTACCTATAATATAAGCTTCATACACAAAATTATTACATCGAAATTACCTATAAATGTTCGAATATGTTTACTTAATACTGCTTATGACGTGCAATCATCAACAATAATTAACATTTAACACACATCTATTTCTATTGACTTAAAAGTTACAAAATACATAAACGCAACGCTTGTTATTCATTTTTTCAAAACTATATATTATATTTACAACCGATGATAATAATATTGTTGACTAAGTATCTAAAAGCAGAATGCTAAAATAGGTAGAAACGATTTTTTGCTATGCAAACGTTATGCGTTGATAATACAGTGGATAATAAGGTACAAATTAGGTATATGAACAATTTAATATTGCGAGTTGTATGTAATACATATTATGTGTATTTACACATAATACACAATTTATAGATGAACCGTACGACCTACTATATCCAATTATCGTTTTTCATTTGTGCAGTTATCTACATAAATTACATTATTATAGTTGCATATTAACCTTAATTGATTTTTGTACCCTAACTATATAGGTACTCTAATAGTGTTTTATACACAACGGCAATTATTTCTACAATACTATAATCTTTGTACTTTTTTAAAATCATGTTTATTTTTGTTTAAAGACGTCTCATACACTAAGTATGTGTATGCAGTTGAGGTTTCTAGATAAATCTGATTTGCAATAATATGTTATTATAGTAGCCGTATCAACAATTCTATTAATTAGGTATAATTAAAATAATAATGTAATGCCATATTGCATGTATTATTATACCTTAAGGTTGAATAAATATAAGGTTTAATTAATTTATCGACGATTATTATATTCTAATCGAACCGACGTACATACATTTCATTTGTGTAGGATATAATATGAAAAGCACTGGTTACGTTTGTTGAGGTAATTTAATGATCTCGTATCGCTATTTACACTTGAATTGCCTGTTTGATGATAATATTTAGTACTTACTAAACGGCCATCTATTAGATAGTGTAAATACGGTAGCATAATATAATATGGACAGTAATTACCATTTAATTGGTTTCATTTTACATTATTTTGATCATTTCGAATAGTAAATTATTATTTTACGACACGTATACATCATAATAAGTGGCTCGTGTTTTATTTTATACAAAATGCAATAACGAATTGAAATAATACCGTAAGTAATAGTTACTAACCTAACCAATAAGAATTCGTGTACATGCTTATTTAAATTTTAAACATTTACATAATATATAAGAACTTGAATTTCATACTCCCATTAACATAGATAATATAAGTATTAAATATTATAATGCGTTCTATCTAATTAAATGTTTATCTTAATATTATTGTATCTACATTAAAATATTTAGGTAGATAAGTAATTATTATATTATTGCATATAGGTAACGTACGTACGTCATAAAAAGCATCATTAAATGTTATATAGGTATTAAATTGTTAAAATACAACAGCAACCGAGATAAAATAATTGTTATAATGTAATTTAAACGATATGGTCATAATAATAATAGTTAAAAATGTTATTTTATTATTAAAACAAACCTAATCTCTTTATAACTTATTAAATGAAGTCATATTAGGTATATGTTTTTATGTAAACTGCAACGTACATTTCTGATATTTATGTACAGGGTGGTAAATTCTATACCATTATGCTGTGTGTGTTATTATAATTAAAGTTCAATACAAATAGTTTTATGCATGCAGTGGACAGCGTTTTGCGTATAGCTGCTCTGAGCTGTCAATGAATTTCCGACTGTGTATATTATGTGGGTTTTTTAGAATTATCCACACAGAATAGTATTTCCTCTATAATAATATACTTTTGTTTTATAAAAAAAACATATCGGCCTACGTCAAGGCATTGTACCTGTATACCAACATCTTACATTGGTGTAAATATTTAAAATTATTAAATAAGTGTTACAACGAATTAATTAAACAGCTATAATTAAATGTGTTGTAGGTATAATTACTGTTTGAAAACAAACATAGTATAACATTGATGTATGGGATATTAAACAGATGTTAAGCGGACGGTGAAGAACCGAAAATTAATAAAGTAACTATACTATTATCGCGTACGCCATATATTATAATTATGTATAGTAATAATATGGCGTACGTTTGTTGACCTCAGTGAAATAGTTCTGCAGAAACGGTCATGGCTGTGTGAACATCACCGAGTACGTTGTACGGAACAGCTCTTGTAAGACATAGGTACTATAAGGGGTCGTTTTAATATTTTTTTTATTAAAAAGAAATTCTCACAAGACTAATTTTCGATTATAATTTATACGGGCGCGTATACAAAAATCATCGGTCCGTGAAATTATTACACCTAATAGTACATCTAAAATACCGCGGGTTAAGTTGACTTTACGAATAAATCATTGGTTAATTAAAATAAACAAGTGTACTACCTATACCTGTGTACATCTTATTATGTTATCTGCAACTTAGAATCCTATTATTTGTTAATTACCTTATAACATTAATTATATTACGAGGATAGATTAGGTACACGTTCTGGTCGTTATTTTATTTTAATTTATAAATTACTTGTTACACATTACAATATAAAACCGTTTAGTAAAAAATAATTTAACTATGATAAATAATTGAACATAAACAACAACCTTATTACGTTGTTAAATTAATTAAATCATTTAAAATGAATTTTTAGTTAGGTTTAGTTGATACTGTCTGAGTATAAATAGAATAAAGTAGGTATAGGTTCAACTTGGCGATGAGATATCATTAGTCTATTTTTAACGTTACTTATGTTTCATATGGGTACATCTTTTATAAGAAAAATATGTCAAACTTTTTGACTCGAGACATGTCGAAAAAAATGCGAAAATTAGAAAGCATTTGAAGGGCACAGGGGAAAAACGGTAGTAGTCACCACATTATGAACATTTTTTTACTCAAATAGTTTTTTTCAATTTATGCCATTAATTTTTTTTATTTATGTCAATAGATTATTTAAATAAATACATTTATTATTAGAGTAGCATTTAATGTGATTTTTTTTGTTCTTATGTAAGAGGGAGAGGAATTCACGAACTTTGTTTTGCTATACTCTAAAATTTTTATAATGTGACTACTACCGTTTTCCCCCTGTGCCCTTCATTTAATTAGCCAATCTTGTCGTTGAAATGTATAGTATAACACTAGAAACTAATTTTATTGATAATCAACAATGCAAAATTCAGGATCCCAAAGAAAATATGGCATTGTATTTTAATTGATTATAATTAGTTCAGTTGGTTATACATCTCGATGATTTGGCTCTCGCAGCCGTCTCGGGTAGATCCATTACAACGCATTTTTAATATTATTAAAATGCCAGTCGGCTTGTACTCGCAAATTGTATACATTTATTTCAGTTAGAGTCTATGTAGGTTCACTTTTATTTGCGTATTTAAAATAGTTTAAAAACTCGTTAGGAGTAAAACGATTTTAAGTGATAATTTTTTGCGTCACACGTGTGCATATTTATAATAAACGAACATTATGTACAATTTTACAAAATACAAAAACAGTTCAGAAGAATTTACTCGACCTACGGAATAATATACCTCTCATATATAATATATAATACATTATATTGGTGTGATATCTGACAGGACGTGCCAATGACCACCGTTGAAATCACAATGCGCAATTAATATTGATATTTGCGGTGCGGTAGTTAAAATTCAATTTTGTATACAAATACTAATTCGCATTGCCTTCCGTCTTCTCAAGAGCGTTAAAGACTAAGCCAGGTGGACGCTGGCCCGCGTGGACGTCAAGGAGCGGCGTGCTCTTCTTGTGTGTGTGTATATGAAAATATTATACCCTTTGTCGAGTCTTCATTGTGCAATATACACTTGGAATATATACATATATATATATATATCCGATTGTGTGAGTCGTGCATATCGACTCGGAGGTGCTCGACTGCAGGCATTTAACAGTAATAACAATAATAATAATACACTCTTATCCGCAATGGTCGCGACACATATAATATAAACTCCACCGTTTATTGCATCCGCGTAAATCGTCCTGTTATCCTTGAACAATACACATAATATACAAGAGTATATTATTATACACTATGAGTATTATACCCCGTGTACATCCGAGCGTTTTTAAAAGGGGCGCACGGGACACGCATAATACACCGTGACGTTTCCAAACACCACATACCTACCTTTATACACTTACGGTCCTTTTGGTAAAAAATGATGTACGACACTCGGTTGCGTCTCTTATATTAATTTATGTACATTTGTTTCAATTCCGGAGACGTCATTTTCGAGACATAATATACAAAAACCTACACTGGTAGGTACTATACCTACATTGTAGGTTAATGCGCCTGAAGGGCGGAACGTTTCAAGTAAATCATCAGCTGGTAATACCTGTATAGTACGCT